CCCCCCCCCAACGCCACATCAGAAAGGCAGTGCTGGTATCCCCAAGGGGACACGTCACCCTCCTTTCTCATCTTTGGGATCAGGGAAGGAGAACCAGTCCCAGGGCAGACGAGGGAAGGTCCCAGGAGAAGGTGCACCAGACAGGCCTTCTAGTCTTTCGAGGGGGACTGCAGCGATGGGAAACTAACATCCTGCCTGGCCTTTCTCTCACCACCGTCCTCCTCCCCCATCAGCCTCAGGGCCGTCCTGGGGCCTGAGAGAAGGCACCACACGCCCTGCAGAAGCTGCTCCAAGAAGGCGGTGAGCCAGCCGAGCCAACGGGACCAGCAGCCGATCCCCGGAAGCCACGGTGGACTGGCTGTCTTGTTCTTGTTCCTATGACTCAGAGACCCTCCCTGTGCAGTCGAAGTCGAGGCCACTCCAGCTCAGAGGGCCGCCCTGGGGCGGGCAGGCGGGCTGGCTGGCTGATTGGTTTCTAAGGTAGGTAAATGCCAGCTCTTTGCACACAGTCAGAGGTGGCACAGGGCTGATGTCAACCTGCCCAGCGCTGGAATCCTTGCCTTTAAGGGTTTCGCTCCATTCTCTCCAAAGAGGCTCCCAAACCCTATGCAACAGCCCCAGCAGTCATGGAAGCCGTGCCTCAGCCACGTCCCAAGAGACACGGGGTCCCAGGAACAAAGCTCCAAGTGTGCAGTGCTGGCTGCCTCCGCCGACCCCACCACCCTGCTGACAGAGGCACAGCTGGGCTCCGGTGCCCTGCCCACCTCCACTCAACCACGCTGCCCAACAGGGATGGGTGTAGGATGTGCCTGTGCCACCGCCACCACCACCACCAGGGGACTTCTAGGCAGGTAAATGAAATGTACAGGAAGCGATGTCATTTTCTTCTGCTGGTGCTGGGCCTACCCTGGAGTGAAGAGGTGGCACTGCCCCATGAGACCATGCCCAGCCAGCCAAACCCAAGGCCTCCATCCATCTTGACTCACAGCGCAAGTACCCCCAGGGCTTCCCAGGCCGTAAAGCCTTATGGGGGCAGGCAGCCTCAACTTCCTCCCAAGGAGCGGCTAATGGGTTTGAACCACTGACCTTCTGGTTAGCAGCCCAACCTCTAAGCAGCCACAGCACCACCAGGGCTCCATAGAGCAGGGGCCAGAAAACAATGCTGAGATGAGGAAGTGAAAAGGGAAGGGAGCTAGACCTTGATTTCTGCTCAAGGTGGAGGAGCACTTGTCACGGAAGCCTGCACACTAGCTCACCCCTGGCCCAATGCTACGGACGCCCCAGGCCCACAGGTGCCCCGTTCCAGTGCTCCGCACACATGGTCTGTCAGCCCTGAAGTCTCAGCTCCAGCTTTGCTCTAGAATCCCCATCAGTCATTGCAAAGTGTCGCCACAGCAGAGCCCAGAAGGCCCAGCAGCCTCGCCAGCCACCGCCCCATTCTCTCCAAGTGGAGAGAGCCCCACAGAGCAAGGCTTGGCTGTGGCTCCACTGCTTCAGACTCTCTGACCTTCCAAACACAGGAAGGTGAAATCATACAGAACCAAGCCACAGGGATCTCCCCACAGGGGCTGCCTGCCTGCCCAACTGGTTTTACAGGGAAAGAGCAGGGCGCACAAGCGTGCACGAGTGCCTCTGCCCTCACTGGGCAGCTGGCAGGACTCTGAGTGTCCTTGGGCAGGGCCCAGTTCACAGGAGCGCATGTGCATCCCATGGCAGAACCCGGCCAGCCCACTTGTGCCCCCCTCAAGCCCAGCGGGGGAGTAGCAGTGCCGTGCCAACAGAGACAGGCACAAAAGTGCAGGTGTTTACCTTTGTCCATTTTTATCATGGAGGCCAGAGCCCCAATACTTAGGGACGCCAAGGTACTGCAGTTTCCGGGCGCAGATCCATTTCTGAACTAGAAGTAAAAAGAGAGGCGCATGATTTTTGGCTCTGGGATGCATCATCTCTAAAAACACTACGAGCAAGCGCTACTTGGTGAGTAATGAGATCTCACCTCTGGCTCACTCGTTTTAAAAAATAGTCAATGAAAGTATCTTGCAAGCAGAGCGCTCTTCCCGCCCCAAACTCCAGTGATCTGCTCTTAACTCAGCATCGCCCTTAAAATGGAGCCATCTCAAAGGCGTTCAGATAAAAACTTCAAAACCAGGGCAGCTGCCGTCTCTGTCTGCGGAGTCCAGTGCCTCCTCCCTGACCAAGGGTCTCAGCCAGGACCAACTGCAGCTCAGAGCTGGAGAGGCTGCCAAGCGTGCCTCCGCTCTGCCAGGAGACTCCTTGGATTCTATGACGGAAGAGGGAGAGGAGAGGAGAAGGGGAGAGGGAGGAGGGAAGAGGGGAGGAGTAGGAAAGGGGAAGGGCAGAGAGGGCAGAGCAGGTCCCGCCAGGTCACATTCTCCAGACTTGAGGAGATCCTAGCGTCACACTGGAGGATGAGGATGAATTCTCAACAATTCCCTAAAATCACACACCGTGTATAAACCCTCTGCAGCAGCACAGAACTCTCATCCTAACGAACATGCTGAGAACGCTCTCGTATGAACCCCACCTCCGCAGAACTCCCAGTGCAGTCAAGGCAACAGAATCACACGTAAGATGCAATGCTCTCGTCTCGGCAGAAAGGACGCGGACAGCACGGGGGAGGGTTACACTTGGGCGCCTCGCGGCTCTTACTTTGCTCAGGTTTGGCGGCTCGCTGGTAGAACTTCAATTCAGTGAAGAGAGGCCCGTTGTCGCTGGGTTCCTTAAAGTGTAAGAGTCCGTTACTATCTGGTTAAGTACAGAGAAAGCCAAACCTCCAGACTATCTCAGAGATGCTAAGGGTCTGTAAGTTCTCTATCTCTCAAGTTCCACTTCGCTGAGTGATAAACAATACAAACTCAGTCTGCACCCAGGTTCAAAAGAAATCTCCAAACTCATGCTCCTTTCAGGCAGAGATCAGCAGCCATGAGACATCTATCGCCAAGGGACCGCGGATCCCTCAGAGATCTAATCAGAGGTCACGCCCTCACACTGCCCCATCTCACACTGTCACCACACTGGGTCTTCGGGGCCCAGACCCACACACAGACCCTGGCTGGCAGCCCACCCTCCCACTCACACCGCCGACTCTAAATGCTTCCAACTCCACAGCCCTGTGACACCCTGAGTGTTTGCCTGGACGTGTGCAGCGAGGGGCAGAGACAGGGCAGCAGAGTGGGCAGTGAAGGAGAGGGCCAGCAGACTGCAACTTGTTTAACTGAAAGTGGCTCAGTGTTCAACATTCCTCCTCTTACTGAGTTCAGGAGAGAAAAATATTAAAGAGACTTAGAGCTATAAAAACCACAACCAAGGACTCAATATGCCTGCACCCGCTCAGGGCTGCTCTCCCAGGAAGAACGGGGCACGATGCCTGAGGAGCTAGAGCTTCAAGGCCAGGGAAGCATCACCCACAGACCCACCCTGCCTGCCAGAGTCCATTCTGACTCTCACTGCCCCCGTGCGTTTCTGAGACCGTCCCTCTTTACAGCACAGACAGCCTCATCCCTCCACGGGCAGCAGCAGTGGGTTCCACCTGCCGACCTTGCAGCCCGCAGTGTACCCTGTCCAGGGCTCTCTGGCACTGGGCGGCCCGGCGGAGAGAAAACAGTGAGAGGGCACTGGTAGCGACGAAGGCCCCTGTGCTCAGCCAGCCCCTTGGCCCAGAGGCAGAGGCAGAGGGGCTCGCTCTAATGGTCACACTGCTCTCGTGCCACCCTTCAAGCAACAGCAACAGCAGGCCCACCTGGCTCAGCCATGCAGGGGATGCCCGCCAGCCTTCCACGGCCACAGCAGAAGGGCGGGCCCCGGCCAAGGTGAGCTCCTTCTGGAGGGAACACCGCAGCTCACAGCCGGGAGCTAGGAGCCCCTGGGAGTGGAGCCACAGCGCCAGCTCAGTCCTCGCCAAGACTGCCGAGAAACCGGGATGACATTTTAACCAGAAAAGCACTGAGCGTTTCTGAGACTTCTAAGTGTCAGAACAAGGATGACAAGAGGGAGATGAAAGTGTGAGAGATTCCGACGGCGCTGCCATTTACAAGCACGGCTGCTCGGAGCCCCTCCTCCCACCACAGCCTGGGAGGCGTGATGTGCACGTCCAGCCGCCTCAGTGCCAGGAGCCAGCAGCAGGCGCAAAGGTGGGCTGCATGCATCCACCACCTGACCAGCCGATAGTGGCCCTTGCACGGGGCTGCCTGGGAACAAGCCCATCCCACCTTGTCCACAGCACTGAGGGTCGCAACAGAAGAGCCCACGCAAGGTGAAAGATGCGGGCAAGAACACAGACCAGCATCTCGTCATCTAGTCTCCCTCCCCCCATCACAGCCTGTGTGCACCAGCCTGCTGGGGAAGAGCAGGCCTCCCAGATGCTAGGAAGCCACTGCTGCCCGGGGGGGAGCAGAGCACAGATCCCACCCCATGCAAAACCAGAGGATGGGGAGAAGGGAGGCTTCAGGATGGGCCCAGACATTCACCCTGAAATGAAAGGCCCCGGCTGTGTTCTCTGCGGAGCTGTCGTGGAGCAAAGCAACACAGGACGGGGGATCACGAGAAGCACAGACGGCACAGCCCCACTTAGAGCTGCTTGGGCCCTCTGCACCCCAAACTCCACACAGGGCCCCCAACCTGAGTGCCAAAGCCAAGAAGCTGCCTCAGAGGTCTCCCCACAGGGACCTGGGGAGAAAGCCCCTGTTGGTCAGTACTCACACTCGTTCACACTCACACTTGCTCACTCACTCACTCACGCTCGCTCACACACACACTTGCTCCCTCAGACCGTTCAATCATGCTCACTCACACACACTCACACTTGCTCACTCACCGCTCACACTCACACCCGCTCACGCTCACTCTCAAGAATCTGGAGCAGCTCGCCCCTGCAAGCCGAGTGGGGAGTGTCTGCCTGCAGTGCTGTACTCTCTCAGACCTGGCCACACAGGTCAAAGGACAACCTGCAGGCCAAGAAGGAGCTTCTCTGGCAGTGGGCTGGTTCCTGGTTCAGGGAGAACTAAGGCAGGCTGCACAGCTCCAACAACAGCAGGCGGCCTACGAGGGCCCCAGAGCCAAACCCACTGCGCCCAGCCAACTCCAACCCCTGCTGGCCCTACAGGATCCCAGACAAACCTCGACAGGGGAGACCGGACTGCAAACACAGACCAGAGACCACTGGGCGGGGGTCTGCCCTCCCACCCTCGGGCCTAACCACTGAGGGCAGGCTTAGATCAGGCACAGGGACAAGGTCTGAGCCAGGTGTGGAAACAAATGGCCTTCAACTCTGAAATGTGAAGTCATGTGCTACCTTAAGATTTCAGAAATGCCTGTTCTTGCTCATTTCCCCCCATAACTGTGTGAGGGAAAAGGGCATGAAAAGAGACATTACCTTGAGCCATCACTAAAAGACTGCTCACATTGAAGAGCAAAGCAGTGATTCACACCTTCAAGCAGCTGTCACAGAGGGGAGAGGGCCAGGGCCTCACAAGAAGGGGGGGTGGGGGGGATGCTTTCCTGCCCAGAAGAGAAGGCGGCCAGCAATGTAACCAAGTGCAACGGGAACGCAGGTCACTGTTATCTGAGCTTCAAAATCACGGGAAGTCATCAAAAGACGTCCTTTCTTCTCCAAATAAAATCCTTCTGAAGATCCTGAGAGCGAACCTTTATCCATATATTTTAGTATTTCAATTTGTCAAATCAAAGACAAATGCAGATAATGTTCTGCAATCCCATGCAAATGACCCAATTTAATCGTAAGAACTTTCCTTCCCCGGGTGGAACAGTCAGCAGAATCCTTTAAAAGACATGTTTTTCCACAAACGAGAAAGAAGAAAAAGCCGAAATGAAGGGCCCTCAGGAAAAGGGTCCACTCCAAGCACAGGAAGGAGCATCCGGTCAGGCAGGCGGGAGGCCAGCCTTCACACTGC